GACACAACCTGCACCCCCCAACCCCCAACCCCCACCTGTTGAAGAGCAGGTATGAGTTGTTGTCGCTGATGGAGTAGAGGGCCCACAGGATGTCCTCCTCGCTGCACGTGGCGGTCCTGGGGGCGGTTGGGGGGCGGTTCAGGGTTGGTTGGATCCGGTTTGGATCGGTTTGAGCGGGGTTGCGGTCGGATGAAGGTCGGTTGGGGCTTGGTCGGGGGATTTCCAGGGCGGTTGATGGGTGGGGCACTTCAAGTGGCATCATGCCAGGCCAGGATGACGGACGATCGGACGTCGGGGGGTCATTGGATGTCACGGACAGGGGTCCCACCCTCAACACTCCCCTCCCCTGTGAGGTTGCAGGCCGGCCGCCCAGCCGCCAGGGCGGCTCGCAGCTCGGGGCCGTCTGCCAGTCCTTCCCACCCAAGCGCCGCAGCGCGCTCGCGAATGCCCTCCTCCCCCCTCCCAGTCTCAGGTTCCAGCCCCGAGCCCCCTCTACGACGAGGCCGCGCCCCGCCCCGGCCCACCTGTACTTTTTCGACAGCGCCTCCCGCGCGCGCTCCTTGGCGCGGATGTCTCTCTGGACCTCGTGGCGCGGCCGCCCCCGGGACATGATCTCCCCCGTCGCCAGCGCCACCTGCGGCGCGGCAGTCAAGAATTAAACATCACTTACCGAGCAGGACGCTGCCAATGAGGGACGCCGGTCTGCAGGCATGATTCGAGTAGAATTTGCGCAGAAGCGCCCCCGTATGCTGCGCCGCCAACCAAAGGGCCGTCAGCCGCGCCCCTGCTGCGCGGGAACGCCCCTCAACAGCGCCCGCCTCCGCGGCTGGAGTAGGGCCGCCGGCGCCGCCGCCGGGCTCGCTCACGCCCCACCGATTGGGGCGCGGCAGTCGGCAGCCCAACAAGCCACGAGGCAGTGCCGACGTGACACAAGCGCCACAGCTGAGGACGCCGCGCACGAAGCCGACCCTGGCCCCCAAAGCTTGAGGACGCGCGGGGAACAGAAACTTCAACACTACACGCTAAGCCCTGAATCCTTAGAAACCCAAAACCCCTGGAGCCCTAAACCCTGAAAACCCCAGATCCTCACCAGCGGGTCGTCAAGCAGGGCGCCCGCACCGCCTGCCTCCAGGGCGTCCCCCACGGTCCTCAGCCGCCGCACGCAGCTGAACTCCAGGAGCTCCCTTATAGCCGGCTGGGACGAGTCCATCAGGCTGGGGAGCGGCGGTCGCGGGAAGGTGGGCGGGCGCGACGCAGGCGCGGCGGAGATGAGATTGGAAGAGAGGGGCAACAGGGGAACAGACAGGTGTGTTGGAGGGGTCGTCGGCCGCTTGCGCCGGGCGGACCTCTCGGATAGACCTCAGACCTAAGACGCGTTGCATGCACAAATATTGATCAGATCGAGGGGCTGACAGACCCCTGCATGTGAGGCGGCCATCACAGGCGCGACCGCCACCGTCCGCCAATCATCGGCGTGCTGGGAGGTTCATGAGTGACAGAGCTGTTCATACAAGACAGTCCAGAAAACAATACAGATGCATAGACTCGGAACACATAAACCAATGTGGTATGCTCACAGGTACATGAGCTTGCCGTACTCGCCCCTCATCTTGTCGGGGTTCATCACCTTGTAGCGCCGCCCGATCTCAAACACGTCCTGGGCGGACGGCGGGGGGTGGCAAGGACGGGCCGCGATGGGCTGGCGCGCGCCACAAGCGCAAGGGCCCTTGTCCACTGCCCCAACAAAGGCACGCGCCCAGAGGGCCGCTGTGGCGCCGGCCCTGTTGTCGCGCCGCAGCGTGAAGGCCCCGGCCAACCTCTCGGCCACCGCTGCCTCCACCGACGCGGCCGGCCCGCTGCTGGCGCCGACTGCCTCGCGCTCCGTGCCGTGCCAGGCCTCTGAAACCCCCGGCCCTCTGTGCCACACCCTGGCCCCCCTCCCTGGCAAACCCGCTGGCACCACCCTTGCCCCCCCCCTTGGCACCCCCCTTACACCCCCTTTGGCAACCCCCCTCTGCCACCCCTGGGCACACACCCCAAGGGCACCTCCTGAACACCCCACCTGGAAGAACTCCGCGTTGTCCCCAAACTCTCGGTCCGCCACCAGCTGCTGCCCCCGCTTGTAGTCCTGCGCCACCACCAGGCCGCTCAGGATGGCGCACAGGTCCCGGATCTGGGCGGTCACGCGCGCGCTCTTGCTGCGCCACGTCAGCACGTCCACCTGAGGCGCGGATGAACGTTTTCGAGAGGAGGGTTGTCGGACGCGGAGCGACGTGCGAGCGCGCGTGTGCCGGGGTGCCGTCTAGCCTCGACTGACTGGCAGCGGGCCGCCCGCTGACGGGGAGCGCGGCGTCCCCTGACTTGGTGATGAGAAAAAGCCGCCGCCGCCGCTACCGCTCGCGACGCACGCTGCTTGCCCTGGCGGCCGTGCCTGTCGCTGCAGGCGCTGCTGAAACGAGGCTTCTTCTCAGGACAAGCCGCCCGCGCAACACTGGCTCGCCACTTTTGCAAGGGGTGCGAAGAGTTGCGGCACGAGCAGAACACCCAGCCGCAGGCCGGCGAGAGCCACCCCCCTACGCGCAACGCGCACCTTGTCCGTGTATTCAGATACGTTGAGCGCCGCCTCAAGCAGCCGCAGCAGCCGCCGCTCGTCGAGCTTGAGCCGCAGCGGGATGAAACGGCACCGCTCCCGCATCCCCGCGCCCGCGCCGCCCACGCCCACGCCCGCCAGCGCCGCTGCGGCCGCCGCCTGCTCGAGCGACGAGCGCGGCTGCAGGCCTGCCCCCGCCCCTGCCGCAGCGGCGGCCGCCGGGCCGCCGTCGCCGCCGTTGGCGTCGCCGGCGCTGCCGTCGGCGCTGCTGCGGCGGCTGCTGCTGCTGGGGGCGCCCGCGTCGTCCTCCTTGAGGCGCTTGCTCTCGATGTCGCTGTCGACCGCCATAAGCTCGGCCTGCAGTCGCAGATTTTGCGGCGTACGGTTGCCTGTCGAATTGCAAGCCCCTCCGTCAACAAAGCATGAGCAAACGTACGGCTTGTGTGACCGCACACGTTGCGGACAGCAACGCCGCCGGAGTTGCCTACTCCTGGTGAGCCTGACTGCTGAATACGAGTGCAGGCGGCACGCCGCCCCCCCTCCAACGCTGGTTGCACGCCCGCGCATGTTGCCGCCCCGATTCAAGTCGCACCCGCCCCTCCCCCCTCTTGACCCCGCGCCGCCGGGGCCCCTGGCAACAACCCGCACCTGCTGCGACGACCGCTTGGAGCGCTCCGCGTCGGCCCTCTGCTGGTCTGCAAAGTGCCGCGCCTCCAGAGCCGCCTGCTCAAGCTGCAGCCGCAGCCGCTGCATCTGCTCAACGATCGCTGCGGCGGGCGCCGGCGGCGCCGGTGCTGCGCCGCCCCCGACGCCGCCGCCGTTGGCCGAGGGGTCCTGAGCTAGCAGGAGCTGCAGCGACTCGCTGAGCGCGGCGGCCTGCTGCAGCAGCGCGTCGGCCGAGCTGGATTTGTCCGCCGCAAACTCGGCGAGCTGCTCAGCGTACACGCGCAGCCGCTGGGCGCGGTCGGCGGCGTCCGCCTCCGCCTTCATGCGCAGCATGCGCTCGTCTGCGGGGCCGTGCGGGCGCATGGGACCGCATGGAGTGCATGCGGATGGCGGTGGAGCGAAGAGCAGCTGGCGTTGTGCTTTGGCGAGTTTGGGGCAGCGGGAGCGGCGGGGCAGCAGCACTCATGCAGCACACGCCGCCAGGCCGGCTGCTCAAGGAGCTGCACGGATTACGCGCTGAACAATGCAATAAGCGATCCCTGAGTCCGTACGACAAACAAACAACCCACCTTGCAGGGTGGTCTCCTCCAGATCGACGGCCTTGGCCGCCGGCTCCTGCATGCTAGCCTCCTCGCCATCTAGCACCCGCGTTAGGGCTGCATGATGGGCAGCGTGTTCTGCTGTCATGCCTGTGCGACGGCGTGAGGCCTGCGGAGTGAATGCAGCCTGCCACCAGTTGCTTATGCTTGGGAACATGAAGGGAACGCGCTCATGGTGGGCGCCTGAGTGGTATGGGATCGGTGGCGTGAGTGCGCCGCCCAAACCCCCAGCGGCGGCAGCTCTCCTGCCGGGGTCCCTCGAATTCAAACGTGCCACCACACTGGGAGTGCTGCTGGACCTCGACAGCTTCTGAAGTTGCTTGTGGGCCACAAAGACAGCGCTATGGTCGTAGCTGGGGCCCTGCCAGCAGGACAAGCCCAAGGACTGAAAGTACAGAACCCACCAATGGGGTCAGGCGTGCAAGGCACAGTGAACCTGGCCCTGCCCAACCGCAACCATTCACCCCTGATGATGCCGCTGCCAGTGCGGCTGTGTCTAGACCGTGTGAGGCATGTCAGTGTGTTTGCATAGCGCAGTGTAGATGCTTGTGCTGGGTCAACATGAGCACTCGGCATGCCATCCATAGCAACAGCTCGCATCCCGGTGGATGGCGGACAAACTCAACAGCAATTTTGGAAGCAGCGGCGTCATTTGCAGCAAATCTGAAAACAGTGGCGTCGTTTTGCAGCAGGCAATGGTGTTGCGAAAGAGACATGATGAATGAGAAGGAGTGCAGCCATGCATCCTGTGTGAGGGGGGGCGAGCAAGCCAGGTTCAGCGTTCAGGGAAACGCCGCCACCAGCAGTGCGACAAGCCCCAGACATCGCGGAAGCAGGGCAGCCCCGCGTGCAACCGCACCCCCCTTGGCGGCCGGCATTGCCGAGGCCACAGGCGCGCGCGAGCCCGCGGGCGTGAGTGCAGAAGCGTCGGCGGAGTCAGCCTTCTCGGCCAGCGGCGCCAAGCGGGCCGGCACGCTGCTTTTTGACGGCGCGCCGGCCGTCTCAGCGGCGATTGCGAGGGCAGCGTCGAACTTGCCCTCCCTGATGAGCCGCGCGCGCTCGAGGCTGACTGTCATGCTGCCGGCGCTCTCACAAGCCTCGCGGTCGCGCCGCGAGCCGCACAGCGCCGCCAAGCGGAACAGCGCGCTGCCCCCGCCGCCCGCCTGAGACGCCTCCTCCGGCCCCAACATCCCCACGACCGACCCCGCCTCAGTCGGCACGCAGTCAGCCTTCTGGTAAGCGCGCCGCGCCTGCGCCGACCCGCTCGCCCACGGCGGCAGCGGCCCGCCGCGGGCCGTGCACAGGCCGCCGGGCCGCTCGGCGCAGCTGTCCTTGCCGACAACCCTGCTGCATTCGAGCATCCGCTGGATCGCGGCCTCGTCCGCTGGGCTGGGCCCGCCGCCGCTTTGCAAATCAATCAAGTCGAACGCCGCCCTCAGCGCGAGCTCGCTGGTGGCTCGCTGTCCCAGTGCACAGCCTGGGGGCTGTGCGCGGGTGCGTGGTGCGGATGGACGTGGGTGGCGGGGGGCCGCTGCGAGGGGCGGCGACTTGTGGCTGCCCGATTTCCGTAGTGAGGTGGGTTGCGGGGCAGCAGAGTTTGTGACAATGCACAAGCAGCGGAAGTCATGCATTGCAGGCTTGGCAGTTTGGTTTCAGCCAGGCTAAGCGCTTGCAGGCAGGGCTTTGCGAGAGGTACACGCATTTGCCTTGCGAAACAGAAGCGGCCGTTGGCTTCTTCTCGTGGAAAGGCCTCATTGGGGCATGCGCACCTGCGCGGTTGCGTTCCAGGCGCACCCGTCCCCCGCGGGCGCCGCCTCGCAGTCGGCCCGCGTGGCGCGCGGCGCGCACGCCTCCAGGGCAGCGGTCATGCGGAACGCGACGCGGACCATGCCGCTGGCGGGGGCCCGCGTTAAGAAGGACGACACCGCGCCTGGGATTGCAAGGGGCAGAGGGCCCGAGGGCAGGCGGCGCAGGCGGCGGGCAGGGAGTTGGCGGCTTGGCTTTTGGAGCCGCGTTCCAGGTCACGCATGGCGGCACAGCTCGCCCCACAATGGAGACTCGCCCGAACTGCTGGCCATTACTTAAATCCATGACTTGCGGTTTAAGCCGCTTTCCCCGTCAATGAGCTGGTGCGTGCGACTTATGAGGTGTGACTAGGTGCGGACCGACAGACCAAACGCGGGCTCACCGTATGCTGACGCGCACAGCGCAAAGCTGGGATACCACACACATTGCGGCACAACCCGCGTGTCTTGCGTCGGCGCCGTCTGAGCCGCCGCGCACTGTGCAAGCAGCAGGAGCGCCGCGGCGCAGGCCAGGCCGGCGGCGTTCGGCCTGCCACGGTCGATGGGGGCACATTGGCGGGAGCGCACACAGCTTGGTGCTGTCGTGCGTGCGGTCGGCTGCAGAGCTGGTGGCCACGTGAGCAACAGCGAGTAGGAGTCGACTCACATGAAAACAATTGCAGTATGCGTGTGCAATTTATGCCATACATGCCCACCTTATCTGCTGCATGTTGTGGCTGGACATTGGCATGCTGCTGCTGCGGTGCTCAGGCCACAGCAGCTCGAGGTGATGGCGGGAGACGCAGGCTCTGCCCGGGTCTTGCCTGCGCCCCGCTGTATCCACGGCAGCAAACCCTCAGTGATGACCTCAGACCGGTTGAACTTTGTATCCAGAGACACGTGCCGTACGTACGTGAGGGTTCGGTTCCAGGACGATCAGGTGGCCGGCCCCGACGATGTCAGCATTTCACATTAACGCATACGCACACATCACTGCTGCGTATTAAAAACTTCACCTGGCTGCCCCCGCTGACACGCGCCGTCACTGCAGTCACCGCAGTGTGTGGGCCTGCTGCCAGCGCTAGAAGGCCCTTGCGAATCGCATCGCGATGCCAGGTGAAGGTAGCTGCAAACATACGAGCATTACCAGTCGCACCACTGCTGTTGAAGGCAACAATACCTGACTGTCAGCCAAGCGCTCATCTTGCGGGATATGCACCTGCCAAGTTGCTGGAAACAGATACAGCTTGATAGTCGGTCGATGCGAAAATGTTACAAAGCCTGCGCGCGTCTGGCTAAGCAAAAGAAACCCCGGGACAACACGCACGCTGATGTCATCACCACCCGCGTCAGCCGCCACCCGCGGGCCGCAGCACGCGCAGCGCGTCAGCCTCTGCAGACTCAAGCGCCCACTCGTGGGCCGTCGCCTCCCAGGCCGCCTTCTCGCTCTTGAACACAGCCACAGCGTCAAAGCCTGGGCAGGGTTTGACAGGGGGCGAGCGGACTCGTGACAGTGATGGGGAGCACCGGCAGCGAGCTCGCTCCTCGTGTGTGTGTGTGTGTGTGTGTGTGTGTGTGTGTGTGTTCGTCTGGGAATGCCGGAGCACGCGTGTGTGTTGTGTGTGAGTGTGTCTATGGATTTGCGCGAAAAGCATGTGGAGGCGGGTCAGGCGCATGGCACTGGCTGTATTCTCCAGGTCCGCCATTGCCCATGACCCCGGGAGACGAGCTGTCACTCCCCACCACCCCCACGCCCCCAAACACACACATACACAGACAAGTGCGCACATGCACACACACACACACGGGCAAGCCCCTCACCCGCCCCCGGCGTCGCGCCCATGGCCATCTGGCGCCGCATGAGCTCAGCATCATCCACAGTGTCCTCTCTAGGGGATTGCAATGTTGGTGGCAGGGTTGAGGGGGCGACGGGTTGAGGGCTGCAGGGTTGGAAGGGTGGCCAGTACTCTACAGCTGATTGTGTATGCCTGCGCCCACACGCAATAGTGATTGTGTGTGTGCACGATTTGCTGTGTGTGTGTGTTGTGTGTGTGTGTGTGTGTGTGAGTGTGTGTGTGTTGTGTCGTTGTGTGTGCGCGCTCTTGTCTTGATACACAGACAGTGTATCAAGGACGGCCATTCCCACTGTCCCAGCCACCCTCTCACCCCCCATCCCCACGCCACAAGAGCGCGCGTTGGCCCCTCCAGCGGGCCCCCCCCCTCGCGCGCCCCCACGAGCCCGCACCACCGGCCGTGCCCCCGCCCCCCGCGGCCCCACCTGAACACGAGGCTGAAGGGCCCCCTGCTGCTGAAGAGCAGCAGAATGTAGTACGACAGCCCCGTGAAATATGACACGTCCAGGGAGGCGAGGTCGACCCCGCGCTGCAGCATGGGGCGGAAGCGGGGGGACAGGGAAAAGGGCACCTTGCCCATGACAAAGCCGCTGAAGAAGAACGACACGATGGTACCCATCAGGATCTGGGGTTAAAGGTTTTGGGTTGAGGGTTTTGGGGGCGAGGGTTTGAGGTGGAGGAGCTGGAGGAGGAGGGTTTTGGGGTGAGGGCTTTTGGGTTTGGGTTTTGGGGTTGACAAGGCGGGGTTAAGGGTTGTGGGAAGGGAAGGATGGCCAGCGCGGAGGCTCAGGGAGTGCCAAGGGGGCGGGGGTGAGGAGACGGCTGGATGGAGCGCACCCAAGGGAGCAGGCAAGAGGCTGAGTGCTAGCAAGTGGCCGCGGCCAGCCCCTGGCCGTCCGGGACGGCGCAGAGCTCGCCCCTCAGCGCCAGCCGCAGCCCTGAGTCGCCTCGCGCCGCGAGCCACGCCGCGCCCAGCCGCAGCGCCCCTGGCTCCGTGGCAGCGGGTGGCACACCGCCAGTCCGCATCATGTACCGGTACGCCCGGCCGCTCGCCTGCGGCACCATGCCCGTGAGGTTCTTCTTCATCATGTCCGCCATCATGGAGGGGTCTGTCACCATGGCCTCGTGCATGGCGCGGGTCTGGGGCTTGGCGCTGAACAAGCCCGAGTCCTTTGTTTGAGAGAATAAAGTTTCAGGGGCGGGAGAGCGCCCGTGAGGCGGTTGCAAGCAGGTGGATGGGTAGGCGTTGCGACCAGGCGGGGCAGCGTACAGCAGTGCATGTCATGTGCAGGGCTCGTCGGGAGCTGGATGGTGGAGGCGCATGGCCGGGCCGCAGCTTGGCGCACCTTATCCGCGAAAAAGTCCTTGCGCATGCGCAGCGCGCCCTCGGGCAGCCAGTTGCCGAGCTGCCGCACGCGCCCGCTGCGCGCGGCCGCCTGCATCTCCCGCACCTCTGGCAGCTCCTTGTCCGGCGGGGGCGCGGCGGCCATGGCCTGCGCGCCCGCCCAATACAGGCGCGCGGATCGTGTCGCGTGCAGGCTGCGCTCAGCAGACGCGGCTCCGGCGGAAGCGTTGTGCCGGATGACAGCGTGGCAGGGTGCTGTTGGCACTGCGGGGACTGCACGGTGGCAGAGCCGTTCCAGGACGCACCTGGTGCATGTACTGCATCACCAGCTTCATCAGCACGATGAACAGCGTGAGCGGGACGAAGACCCAGTCCCGCACATCGCTGTCCAGCACTAACAAGTGTGGCCGCGCCATTGTGAGTGGCTCTATGACATATACGGACTGTACTTTCTCAGATCTACGTCCCTGCTAGAATGACAGATCACATACGGGAGCGTGTTCGCTTCACCACATCCGCGACGCCTACGATGGCTCCGAGTTGCATGTGCAGCCATGCACGTCCATCTTCGGTGCTGCTGCTTGCCCCTGCAATGTACGGTACCGGGAGCAGTTATGCCTGGGCGGTGACGTCTTGTGCACCCAACTGACGCATTAGTGCATTGGGTTTGCTGGTGCGGCATCAGTACAGCCACAGCCACATCCCAGCCCCGCCCAGGTTACTGCAGCAAATGCCTAGTTTGACAGAGTCTCAGACGTGAACCAGGAGACGTTGCAGGCGCCAGCGCGTTGCAGTGCTGCTGTGTCGAGTCGATTGGGCCCTGGGCCTGGCCTCCCATGGCACCCGGGTGCGAGCCCAATATGCAGCTGCCGCGCCTTCCACGTCAACATCACAGCAGCAGCAAGGGGCGGGAGAAAATCACCGGACGGGCCCACGACCGACCATGCGCGCCATGCACAGCGCGCTTGCGATGGTGATGTGTGTGCCCGCCTGCCACAGCACATCCTGCATGGCGATCTCTTGACAACGCCCTGGTGCCACAACAGATTACTCAATTTGACGTCAGCAGGTGCGTGATGTGAGGTGACCAGCTATACATAATCTTGTCCCATTTAGTCACAGGCCCTCTCATCAACATCAACCGTCGCATCTCATTGCTTTGCGGGAATTCAATGAGTGAAGCAGCCAGCCGTGCGGCCGCGGATCAACGTCACAGTCTCCTAAGCCATGACATCACGATGACATCACCGACGACAGCCCAGACCAGGCACTGCGGCGCCCTGAGGCAGCGCTTATTGCAGGCGACCGGGGCGCACCCGCGGTGGGGAAAAAGGTCAAAGGCGGGACTCCGAGGGTGGGGAGGAGGCTGCGGCACAATAATGGGGTGGGGACAAGGGGCAGGGGCGCGGCGGTTTCAGCCGCTAGAGCATCGGCGTCCAAACGGCCGGCGCAGAAGAGAGCCAGTGCGAGCGGGGGCAGCATTTAGTGTGTGGCCGGCGGCCGACGCGGGGGTTGCGCGCTTGTGCAGCGGCGCCCGCGGCCCGGCGCGGTTTGTTCCGGCTAGGGTGTAGGTATGCGTGCCTAAAGGTATCAGACTGAGGTTCCTGTTTCAGAGCCCCCGCAGGGGCTCTCCAAATTTGCATCCTGGATCTGGCCCGTGGCCCTCTCTCAACGACAAGCAACTTTGGCGTCATGCCTAGGGGTGGAGCCCTGTTGGGCCGTTCGCAACGGGACGAAAAAGTGTTGGCCTGGCCGCGGGGCGGGAGGCTGAAGAGGCGGAAGTTCATCCATCGGAGGCGCACGCGACAGTGGCGGCCCCAGGCGCCGCGTGCCCGCCGGCGCGCGGCGCACGGCCCCTGGGGCCCGAATTGCGAGGTCGGATCGCGTGCGGCGGCCTGGGCCAGGCCCGACGCCATAAATGCGACCGCCGCGGCGGCGCGGCGGCTGCCGCTGTCCGCGCGCATCAATCAATCTTCTCGCGCAAAAAATCGGCGCCATGCATTCAGACGTTGTGCGTGCGCGCCGGGCCAGGCGCGCCGGCCCCCTCGGCTTTCGAGTGACAGCATAGGCGGGCTTAATGTGACAAGGGATGACGTCAGTCAGGAGGAGAAGCAAACCCCTGACGGGCGAGAGTGCGCAGCGCCCGCGCGTGTGAATGGCGGCCGCCTACGTCCGCAGCGCCGCCGGCGCAGCGGCGCCTAGGCCGCCTGCCTCCTCTTCCATGGCCGCCAAAAGGTCGACCGGCGACGGGAAGAACGGCCAGGAGTAGACCGCCCACCGCGCGGACTGCGTCGCGCTCATGACGGACTGCAGCGCGAGCGCGAGCGACGCGAGCGCGGACTGCTCCGACGACAGGGCGGCCGCGAGGCGCAAGGGGAGGCGGCCGTCGGCGTAGGCGCGAGCGTCGCCGGAGGCCAGGGCCCGCTCCAGCTCCTGGGGTGGGGGGCGGGGCATGGCAGAGCGCGTGCGTGATAAAGGGCGTGTGCATGACAGAGAGAAGAAGCGCAAACACATGTGTGTATGTGTTATTTTTGGGGCAAAGAGTGTGTCACACACGCACACACACGCACGCACACACATACGCACACAAAGGCAAGTGCTTGTATGGGAAGGGAGGGGCAAGCACAAACATGTGTGCGCTTGTCGCGTGGAGCATGTGTTAGGGGCATGAGCGAGCCCAGAGCTGACACCCATTGCTGCTGCACGGGCGTCGCGGCGTGCCTGCATGCATGAATGCACGCGTTGCTGATGAGGAGAAAGGGCAACGCGAGTCAGCAGAGGGCAGCCGAACCAACCCCTGCGTGGTACAGCCCCTGCGCCGCGGCCCCTGACCTGCGCCAGCGCCCTCCTCTCAGACCGCGCCGCGGCGCGGCCGTCTCGGTAGATAGCGTAGCAGCCGAGCGCAGCCGCGCGCTGCGCCGGGCTGAGCCCGAGCTGCGCCAGCACAGAGCGCCAGTGCGCGTCAGAGGGCGCGGCCAGGGCGGCCGTCGCCAGGTTTGTGCAGAACAGGGCGCAGGCGGCGGTCCTGCCGGCGGTTGAGGCGGTTGGAGCACGGAGGGCGCGTCAGGATGCGGGCCCAGCCGGCGCGGGCGCCAAGGAAGCACCGGCCCGAGCGGGAGGCCGCGATGCTTCCGCGGCGCGCGAGCCCGCAAGGCAGGCAAGGCGGGCCCGCGTTCTCATGGGATCGCGCGCCAGCGACTCACCGGTTACGCAGGGCCAATCCGGACAGCCCCTCCAGCAACTCCTCCACCGCCGCGGCCACGTCGCGGCCCGCCGCCGCGGCTCCCAGGCTGCGACCCTGCGCGTCCGCGGCCTGCACGAGGGCCGCCAGGCGGGCGACCGCGGCGCCGTACCAGCCTATGACGCCGCGCGAGTGGCCCTGCATCGGCGGCAGTCGGGGCGCCGCGGGCGTGGGCGCCGGCGCGGGCGCGGCGGGCTGCGGGGGGGCGGTGGCGTGCCAGGGCTGCTGCTCTTGGTGGTGCTGCTGATAGTGCTGCCACGACTGCTGCTGCTGCTGCTGCTGCTGCTGCTGCTGGTGGCGACCGGACCACTGGTGCTGGTGGTAGTGGCGGTGCCGGATTATGCTGAACTGGCACTCGTGGTGCTGCTCAGAGTCACTCGAGTGCTCGCCTGGCGCCGCCGCCGCCGCCGCGGCCTTCGACGGCGCGAGCGCGGCGGCGCGGTCTGCGGCTGCCGCGAACGCACTAGCCGCAGCCCCGCCGCTGCCTGGAGGCGGGGGGAGAGTGGGGAACAGGTCAAGGGGCGTGGTGGGTGTGCTGGGGCTGGGTGCTGCCGTTTCCAGGAGGGGGGAGTGATGGCATCGAAGCGCCTCCGCTGTGCACTTCCAAGACCACCCCTTGATACTGCGGCCGGCTGGGGCTGGGTACAACACCCGAGGGGCACCCTGAGTCCTGAAGCCCGCTTGCCCAACCCGCCCATCTGGCGCCCCTGCCCTCACCGGTGGATGCCGCGCGGATGAGGCCCGATCCCTCAGTCGTAACCTGGTACCCGACCGTACCCCCCAGACCATGGCCGCCCCCGCCGCCCATGCGCCCGCAGGCCGCCGGCTGCGGCGCCGCGGGCGCGTCGGGCGGCGGGGGGGTGGCGGGGTGACCAGGCCAAGTCGGGGTCGCGCAGTCGCCGCTGTAGGAGCGCAGGGCGGTCGCCGGGGGCGTGCCGGCGCGGATGGCCAGGCTGCGCGCCCCCAGCTCGTCACATAGCGAATGCAGCGGCGCCCCCTGGTGGGGCGGCGCGGCCTGCCGCTCGTGCTCCTGCGCC